TGGTTTTCTGCGTTTAGCTTACTCAATAATTGAGTAAACAAAGCGCAGAAATCAACAAAACATAGTTATGCCGTAGTAAATTTTCTATCCAAATATAACACGTTGGCCCGACGTGTTTTAGTTTTCTCGAGTTAATTTTTTAACTACTGAACAGTTATTGTTCCGTTGTTTAAATTAATTAGCTTAATATTGATCCAATTAATTTTAATTTAATTTTTTTTTATAATTATTATTTTTATTATTTTGTTGCAAAAAATGTTTAAGCATTGTAAGTATCAGATATGGAAGTAAACCACGCTCAATAATTTTGCTTGCATTTGTTAAAAATTTAACAAATGCAACTTTAAAATTTAACTTGATTTACAAAATAGTTATTTATAATTTTATAGGTCTTTTTCTTTTTTTATTGACGCTTGGTAATTTGCTTAAATATCGCGTACTTTTGAAAACAAACTGTTTGTTATGAAAGTTAGTGATAAAAGTTTTAATATATTGAAACAGTTTGCATCACGAGAAGAAATGGTTCAATAACACTGAAACAGTTTGTATCACGCGATGAACTGGTTTTACGAGAAACGAAACAGTTTCATGCGATCATGCATCATGCGAAGAAGTGGACGAAAGATTTATTTTAGTTAAAATAGTCAACACAAACAAATCGTAAGTTTCTTGAAATTTTTTTATGCAATTTATTTCACAGACGTAAGGCAGACGTAGTTTTATGGAGTTTCGTCCAAGAAACATATATACGCATAGATACTTTTTGGAAAGAAGAAAAGATTATCTTGATTTTTTAAAGACTTTTAAGTATGGTTCCTAACTTTTTCATGGGATATTTTGCTCCTGAATATTAGCTTGATGTTCTCATATGAATTTGTGGTCGAAGAAATATAGTCAGTTTTTTTTATTATTCAAATAGTTTGTTTTATGCATTTTCTTTGCACATGCCAAATTTCAATTAAAATAAAAAACAAGCAATTAGTTTAATTATTGTTATACCAAGTATACCACTTTTTTAAGTAACCCGAGGCAAACGGTATTTTGAGGTGGTTCTTTTTAAAAACATATATAAACCTTGGCATCTTTTGAAAAGAAGAAAGGTTAGGCTTGATTTTTATATAACTATTGTGTATTGCTACCGTACTTTTTTATGGATTATTTTGCTGAGAGTTTTGCATGAAAACTTGGTTGATGTTGTCACATGGATTTGTAGTTGAAGAAATGTAGAGTCCGTTTTTTTCATTATTAAAATAGTTTGCTTGATGCATTTTCTATTAACTTGCCAAATTTCAAATAAATATAAGCAATTAGTTTAATTAGTGTTGGATTTTAAGTATCTTATTTCGGTTTTTCTATTTGTTTTTTTTGGTGAGCGAAATCCGGATGGGGCCTAAATCCGGATAAAGATGCGATGTTTAATTAAAGTTTTATTAAACATGGATTTACAAATTAAATATATATATACATATTTTATATTTATAAAATTTGTAAATGTTGTTTAAAGTAAATTTATTTATTTAGGTTAGTTATCTTGGTGTCATTGGTGGTGCCAACATTAAAGATATGACCAGGAGAGTATTAACAGCTTTGATAACTAATGTTTTAGCAAGTGAATTAAATTTCATGGAACATGGGGAAATAAATGCCTTTTCAGTCCTTATGATAAGAAAAATTGTCAATGGTAATTATGAAACTCACATTTTTTACATTTTTTATGCAATTTAAAGAAATGCCTAATGCATATATTTTATACCATTTTTTATAAATTTAAATATATGCATGATGCCTTAATTTCTGCTTCAGCCTCCAAAAATGATGTCAGTAGATCGCCAGTGAGGTAGATGCATTAAAATTTTAAATAAAAAAAGATTATGCTGCAATGACTGTTTTATATTCATTGCTTGTTTAACCAATTTTCCATAGTTATGGCGAAAAACTATACTTGTTAAATTTAACAAGGCACTTTACAAAAATTATAAATAAATTTAAATTTTCTTTTGTTTCATTAGATGCAGTTCGACTCAATCCATTTACAAAAAAAGCTAGAAAAAGTAGTGATTCCAGAAAAAAAACCATCTTTTTTTTCTGGAGTCACTACTTTTTCGGAACAATTTAATAAGTTATTTTTTATTAGAATACTATTATATTAAATGTAAAAGTTTTGAATAGTAACAAATTGATTTATATGTCGATTTTGTAACAATTCATAATAAGTTTCACTTTAGATTAAATAAGTTAATATTTAGATTTAATAAATCTTAGTAAAAAGTAGTTGAAATCTTATGACTAATGTATTTCAAATTGTGATAATACTTCATAAGTATGATTGAAAATATAAAGAATTTGCAATAAAGTTTTATTTCCAGACTATTTTATTAATTTGCTTTTTAGAGTAAGATATATTCGGATTAAGAACAATGCTTCATTAAACAATTAAGATGCATAAAGATGACAAATATCCTGCAATACAGAAACACTCTAGTTACAACTAATAACATTA